GGTTCTTACTTCAGGGCCATACCACTTAGAACCGCCCATTCGTTCCTCTTAAATAAGACATCACGATGGTAACGGGCCATACACCCTCTTTTCCAGTCACGGGAGAATTAAATGCATTTGGTATTTTTTAATTTTTAAGGGGGGGGAGTCTTAACTCAGCAAGGCCAGGAGGCCTGGATGTAGACAATTCAATTGTAGACATGCCCAAATTGCGTATTGTATTTCCTCATTGCATATTCATGAGCTGCTATTTAATTCATGCTCGACGGACATAACATATTTACGCACACCAGAGCTCAATGTTTGTTCAGGAATAGCAGGGGATTGCAATATAGGTTACCCATGCCATGTGACCATGGGTGCATCCAAGGAGGTTGGAACAAAGGGGAAGCTTTTAAAGACAAAAAGGAGACATCCATGTAAGCTGTTTTCAATCAGAGACTATTGGCTCCAGGGACTTGTTGGAGGGGCTGGCATTAGCTCCTTGGTAAGACAGACATTGGTAAGCAAATGTCCTCGTGCAAGTGGCTTACAACACTGTGGTTTTGAGGAATTCCTTGTCATAGGTGTATTTGTTGAGGGCCTCTTCTTCATGACCTCCTCTTTCTATCTTGTTAGCGTTTGACATTAGTGACTCCATTTTGATAGTGATAACTTTCACAATATGCAGATAGGAAATGTACAAAAGTTTGTAGTATTATGGTTTTGCTTCTCTTTGGTATATTTGTTTTGTTTTGTGTTTGGTCATGGGAACACAGCTAATAACACTTGTTGTTTCCAGACTTTAGCATTTAACTGTCCTTGCTTTAAAGTAAATGAAATTTGTAATATGTCACATTAAGTAAACTCTTATCAATTTTGACTAAAGGAAATGAGGAAAACTATGTCCAAAATCCTGAAGATATAGAATGTAAAAAATATCTTATGCCATTTTATTTATTGAAAAGAAAATTTAAATAAATTCATGTTTCAATGTAATGATAATTTCTATGTACACAAATAATTTATGTTTATTGTAAAAACCTTGCAAATATAGAAATGTACAAAGAAGAAGAGGCATCATCTATTTTCTATCATTTTGGCAGTCTTTCTATTTTTAATGTATATTGTACATATACTTTGTTTTAACTTTAACAAGTCAGGCATCCCAGTATAAATGTATGATCAACTTTTAAAATTTAACAATATTAAGCATTTTCAATATTCTTTGGCAATATTATTTTTAATGACTGCATAGATTTCTGTTATGGTATGAACCTTAATTTATTCAAGCAATCTTTTATTGTAAAATGTTTAAACTGTTTCTATAAGTATTTTTAAAGTTTTATTGTATGGGTAAAACTCTATATAAGTGTTTATATACACAGATTCATGTACATACATAAACATGCCCACATACATTTGGACTCAGTAGTAATTTACCAAGTTAAACTCTATTTCAAGCTGAGAGACTTCATTCTGACTTCTGGTGACAAGCCAGCGCCTCCTGCTGTTGCATTTATTGCATGGGACTCTTCATGCTGTGGGTTATCTGAATAGATGCGTCTGGATGATTGTGATTTAAAATTAGTTGACAAGCTGAATTTTGGAGAGTTCTGTGCATTTTCCAAATAGTGTTCTGCAGAATGCTTTTTTCTGTTACCCACTAGAACCAGTGGAGTGGATGGGGTTGGGAGAAGACTTTAAATAAGTTTGAGAAGTGCTGGCTTAAATAAAGTTAAGCAGGAAATCACATTTAGCAAATTAAACTCATTTACTGAGTTATAGACTTTACTGCTTGGGGCACAAGATGAGCATACATGTATCACTATGATAAAGTACAAGGGGCAGACCCAGCCTTCTAGCTTTGTTTTGGTTCTGGATTTAATCAGTCCTTGGATTGGAGTCACCTTTTAAGTAACTGAAAGGCAGGGGGTGCCGAAGATGCATTTGCTTTCTCTTACTAAGGTACAATTGTCGTGAAAAATTGCTTGACTTAAAATTCTTCTTCTATTTTCTTAAGTGAAGCCTGATCCACCTTTAGGCTTGCGTATGGGAATCACAGATGATGGTAACTTAAAGATTTCTTGGTCCAGCCCAACATTGACACCATTTCCACTTCAATATCAGGTGAAATATTCAGAGAATTCTACAGCAATTATGAGAGAAGTAAGTATATTTTAGTAAATAAAATGAAAAGTTGAAAAGTGGCTAAAGACCCCTTTAAGTCCCATAGAAACTACCCTTTGCATGCTGAATATACATGCTCCTGGGAGTAGAACGAGAATAGATATGTGTGTATATCTATATATCTGTCTGTTTATCCACCACTGGTACAGGGAAGTCTAGTTACAGATACTCGAATTCACAATTATAATTTTTTCCACATACCGTCCACTGTTTTTAACATTTCACTCTTTAGAAAGTTGTTTAATATATTTGAGTCTACTTCTGAATCTGGTGATGGGAAAATTTTTGCTTGGTCAAACTTTAGTCAGGCTTCTGAATCTTCTGCTATGCCCATCTGTGAACTTCCTTTTCAAACCCAGTTTTAACAAATGACTGCTGTTATTTTAGTAAGAACTCCCCATCCTTGATATCTGATTGATAGCTCATGAATTTCCTCATCCTCCACCATCCTCTAGGTGATGTTTGATCATCTCATCCTTCTTCAGCAAAAATTCATTTAGGTCGGTTTTGCCAGAATTTCCCTTACCCCTGTTGTTACCACTTAGTGATTTCCATCCACTGACCCCCATAGTGTTCCTTGGCTGTAAATTCCCACTGTCCCATGCTATGTGGGGAGTTAGTCCAAATCTCTCTCCCCTGCTCCCTGTTGCACTGGTCCTGAATCAAGTCTTCCTTACTGTGCCTTTATAAGGATCATTGAATAACTTAACAGTTTATTCTGTAAGTATTTATTGAGCACTTCCTAGATGCTAGCAACCGTCCTACTTGCATCAGGGTATATGGGAATAATAGAACAGGATAGGTGGAGTCGGGGGTGCTGGTAAGGGATGGAGGATTGCAATATTAAGTGGAGATCGAGGCAGGCCAGGTGGAGAGGGTGGCCTTTGAGCAGGGACGTGAAGGAGATGGCGATGTAGGTGCTTGGAACTGGGAACTGGGTTCCAAACAGAGGGAGGACAGCAATGCATGGTCGGAGTGCCAAGGAGGGGGTGACAGTCATAGTGGGTGAAGTCAGAGACTGGTGGCCAGGAGGGGCAGGAGCTCATGAATGGTCTCTTGGGCCAAGTGTACTTTGGCACTTTGAGAAACTAGGTGTAAGATAACTTAGAGGAATAACCGATCTTTTAAGATCTGAGCAAAGTTTTTTAAGATGGGACCTCAGCGTCATGGATGGAAAAAGCCTCTGTGGGCTTCAGTTTTGTCATCTGTAAAGTGAAGATAATAGGATTTTGGATATGAAGGATCTGATGTCGTTTCATGCGTTCCCGAGGCTTTTCATCATTTTGAGTCTAAGACTCCCTGTGTCCTCAACAGTGTTAAGAGGCCAGAGAGTTTAATAACTTTGGAGTACATTATCGGGCAACTGAGTTTATTTGTGATGGTCCTGAGTAAAGTCTTAGCAATTTATTTGCTAAGCAGTTCTCCACTGGTGGTAGTTTTATGCAGGGTTTGGTCTCAGCTGTTTTTCCTCTGTTTGTGAACGGTGCTTTGGTTCATGCACTGCAGCTGATTATCAGGCTCAGGTTCTTCAAGTCGTTCATGCCCTCCTGGGCGGCTCTCCTCCAGGATCTCTTGTAGTCTACCCTGCAGGGTGCTCGGTGCCAGGTGTGTGTTATAGTTGGCAGCACTGGCTTGACGCTTCCCACTGATGTCAGCTGGGTTTTCAGAATCCTAAAGGTCTATCCATTATCATTCAGTAACAGTGTTTGCTAGATGTCATTATGATTTTTTCCCCTAGATCCATAGGCTATTTAAAATGTGCAAACATTAATTATTTGGCTATTGATTTCTGTTTTAATTCTACTGTGGCCAGATAACTACTCGGTAAGATTTCAGTTCCTTGAAATTTGTGGAGACTTGCTGAGGATCAGTTTTGCTAAAGGTTCCTTACTGATGCTCTGTTTTAAAATAATATTTAACAGGTCGACGAGATTGTCTCAGCCACATCCCTGTTAGTAGACAGTGTGCTTCCTGGGTCTTCCTATGAGGTTCAGGTGAGGGGCAAGAGGCTGGATGGCCCAGGAGCCTGGAGTGACTGGAGTACCCCTCATTTCTATACCATACAAGGTAGGTAATAGAATAACTGTTTCCACCGAGTGGCAAATGCATTTCCAGAATTTGCCTTTGGTGTCTTATAAGCATCTTAAATTTTATGGCCTTAAATCAAAAGGAGAAACACAATATTAACTTTTTAATTTAAATTTTGAATAGGCTATCTAATTTGTTGGTTAAAACTGTGTTAGAGCTCTTAGGTTTATGTGCCTTCATAGCAGTGTATTGTTGGATTGCTTTCTTATTAAAAAGGTAAACAGTTAATATAGTAGTTCCCATTAACAAATTCAGAGCACCACTTGTATTGATAGTTCCTTAATTTACATTTGAAAACCGAGTCTATTTATTTGACAAAAATCTGACAAGAATTCATAATAAATGAATTCTTTTCACTTTAGATGCTTGCTTTTAAGAATTTTCAGTATAAATTTTTCATATTTTTAAGCTTTTTTTTTTTTTTTTCCTCACTGTCATCCAGGTTGGAGTGCAGTGGCATGATCCCAGCTCACCACAGCCTCAACCTCCTGGGCTCAGGCAATCTTTCCACCTCAGCCTCCTAAGTAGCTAGGACTATAGGTGCGCACCACCATGCCTGGCTTATTTTTCGAGTTTTTGTAGAGACAAGTTCTTGCTGTGCTGCCCAGGCTGGTCTCAAACTCCTGGGCTCAAGTGATTCTCCCACCTCAGCCTACCAAAGTGCTGGGATTACAGACATGAGCCACCGCACCTGGCCTATGGTCATTTTTAACATTGAAACACTGCAGCTTGTTCATAAGCTGAAGTGCAGTGTTTTATTTTTACATAGTGGCCCAGGAGCCTCAGAAGAATCTTGCCACATGCCAAGTTGTGACTATGGGAAGACAACAGTCCTTTGGCTGGCCTGTCAAAAGGACAAAAGTTTTCTTGTTTACACTTAGATTGATTATGGCTGTATGGAGTTATCAAGTATTACCAAGTACCACGTAAAACATTAAGCAAGTATTCAGCCCATCTAACTCAACAGGGTTATTACGGATGACTTACTATTTTGAAAGCATAGATTAGTCAAAAAGCAAATAGCATGAGTGATTTAAGAACGTTGACTTTGAAGTCTGACAAAACTTGATGGATGTTCTTGTCCCACCACTTACTTGGAAAGTTTCTCAACCTTTCTATGTCTTCGTTTCCTCTTTTGTAAAATAGGGATACCTTAGTGAATAAGATGAAATGATGCCCAAAAAGTGCTTACCAGAGCACCTGCCTCTAGCAAGCACTCAGTCAAAATCATATATGCCCATAGTTTATGTGTCTGTAGCCTCAGCGTTCACTAAGCAGTTGTGAGACAAGTTAAACCCGGTGCTATCAAATGGGAAGCAGTTAGTCCTGACCCAGAGTCGGGGGTTTGGGTGAGCAGATTTAGAAGGTGTTAATTTCACATCTCTAGTTCTTAGATAAGTCAATTATCACATTGTGTATTATGATGCTGACAATTCAGCTTTTGGAATTTTTCTTTTTCTAGGGAAGGCTAAATCTCCTATCTTCAAGTGTATGCCATTGATTAATAGGTCTTAATGACCACCTGTGCATATGTAGCGAGGAATGAGTTGATAATATCAATTTTTTTTGAGTTAGAGTCTCATTCTGTCGCCCAGACTGGAGTGCAGTGGCCGCTCCAGCCACCGCAGCCTCGACTTGCTGGGCTCCAGCGATCCTTCCGCCTCAGCCTTCCAAGTAGCTGGAATTACAGACGTGCGCTACCATGCCCGGCTGATTTTTTTGATTTATTGTAGAGATGAGGTCTCGCTAAGTTGCCCAGGCAGATCTCGAACCCGCGGGCTCAGGCAATCCACTCACCTCAGCCTCCCAAAGGCGTGGGATTACAGACTGAACCACTGAGACCGGTGACAATATCAAATTTTAAAAGTATCTTGTGTAGGGGTTTCTCCATAGTGTTTGGGGTGAAGTGAGCAGGGAAGAGGGACATTTTACAAATAAAGTAGAAGTCAACAGTCCCTGTCTCCACTGAGTGGCCTGTGACTCGCCATCTTTATTGATCCATCTGGTAAAATGTTTCTCTTCCGCAGTAAAAAGCCTTCATTCCTTACTGTTTTCCTTCTTAATTAGAACTAAAAATCTGTCATCTCTGAAAAAGAGGAAAATTCTAAAATTCTAAAAGAATCAATGTTTTTGGTCAAAGTTTGGTAGGATTTACGAGTGATAATTAAGGCGTTTCTAGAATAATAATTCTTAGAAAGATGTGTGCAGTGGGATCAAGATGAGAATTTTGATGTAATATCACATAATAGTTATTTCTGTTATGCTTTGCCTAAGATTTTGTTTTGTATTGTCCCACTTAGACTTTTAGGCCTTTGGATGGACATATTTCTAGTTCTGTTTTACCTTACCATTAACCCTTTTATGATTCATATCAACGTCAGTAGGGTTAAATTTGCTTGATTTCATAATATGTTGGCTTAGAAAGGGCAGAAGTTTTGTTTTAGCAGTGAGTGTGAAGTTAAGCTTACTACTGTTACAAACTTGGATAGCTTAAATGCCATTGACTGCCAAGATAAAGAAACCTCACCAGACAGAAAGCAGATTGGGAATGCCAGCCGTAGGGACAAAAGCTTACCAATTTGAATAGCTCTCGAGGATATTTCTCTGTTACAGTATCATCCACCTCAGTGATGTAATGAGATCGTGCTGTGCACTGAATTAGAATGAACACGTATAATTAGGTTCAAGATTCCTTGTTGAATAGTAATAATAATAAATAATAATGATAATGATAGTTGACAGTAACTAGGTGCTTCCTGTGTTTCAGGCACCGTTCTAAGTGCTTTACATATATTACCATTATATCCTTTCAACAACCCTATAAAGTATGTACTGTCATTCTGATTTTATAGATAAGGGAATTGAGATTTAGAGAGGTTAAGTAACTTGTAGAGAGTCACACAGTTAGAAAGTAGTGGTGCTGCCTGTCTAATTCTGAAATCTATGTTTGTAAACACTAGGAAGGCAGATAAGTGCATAATGTATAATTATGCAAGATTTCAAAGTAGCACAAATTGATGTTCAAAACTAGTAAGCAGTAGGCTTAATTATGGAGCATTTTAATGGAATGCCTCATTTCCTTCACAATACCTAGGACATGAGGTTTTAGTGCTAGGTTATTAAGTTCAGGTTTGCTAAATTGCCTCTGCAGCAATTTCTATACTTCACAGCAGTTGGGCCTTGTCTCCTGAATGGCGTGCAACAGCAAAGTATCTTCCTCCAAAACTTTGGAACTTTCTGTTCTTCCAATAAAGGGATTTGCATCTTCCTTCCTAGCCTAGGTATTGAACGTTATTTGACTCTACTCCATTGATCACTGATGGGTTCTATAATGCATCCATCAAATAGAAACATTCTGTAGTATTCAGTTATTAATGTATTCAGAGTGAATTAGCACACCTGCCTTATCATTTCCAAACACTTCTGGATCTTACTGAATTTTTCTTTGAACAGAGGTTGGCTGGCACATTGTTGCCGTAGCAAGTAGAATATGAATTATCAGTATCTTTTTAACTATCATTTTTTATTCATTGACACAACTGCACCTGCAAAGTACACAGTTAGGTAAGCATTAGCTATTCTGAATCAAGGAATTCTTATGGATTCTTTTGAAATGAATTGGATAGTTTCTCTGTAGCTGTTGGAAGGTCTTGGACTTTTAGAGAAAAACCTAGTTCTGTTTTACCTTACCGTTAACCCTTTTATGATTCATATCAATGTCAGTAGGATGTTTACCAGAATTTATGAAGCCTGAGAATATTGTGATTAGATTATCCTGCATATTGAAAACAACTTTAGACATGCTGAATTCTTGTAATACCCTATTAACCATTTTGTTATTGCTACAAAAAGAGAAGAAACAGATATTAAGCAATTTTTGCATTTCACACATGGCAACTCTTTTAATGGGTTAAAGAGAATATTTTTCCCCTTGAAGAAAAATAGGTACATCTGATCCCAGAACAAAAAAAAGTCTATTTTCCACAGCTGTGATAAGCACACTTAAAATAACTTTATTTAAAATGTTTTGATTCATGATTCATATTGAGCAATTCGCTAATATTTATGAATAGAATTTCCTTTTTTTAATAAAGTTCATTAGATGTTTTCAGGCCCGGTCTGTCTTGGTCCTCCCCCCTGAGAAAATGGCCGTGCAGCTCCAGGGGACCTGGGCGCCGTCGCTTCGGTGGAGCCTGGGCTGACAAGGCAGGGCAGCAGGGGGAACCCTAGCAGTTCCGCGCCAGATAGGGAGGCCATGGCATCCGGCAGTAACTGGCTTTCCGGGGTGAATGTCATGTTGGTGATGGCCTACGGGAGCCTGGTGTTTGTACTGCTATTTACTTTTGTGATGAGGCAAATCAGGCGCTTTGCAATGAAATCTCGAAGGGGACCTCATGTCCCTGTGGGACACAATGCCCCCAAGAACTTAAAAGAAGAGATTGATATTCGCCTATCAAGGGTTCAGGATATCAAGTATGAACCCCAGCTCCTTGCAGATGATGATGTTAGACTGCTACAGCTGGAAACCCAGGGAAATCAAAATTGCTACAACTATCTGTACAGGATGAAAGCTCTGGATGCCATTCGTGCCTCTGAGATCCCGTTGCATGCTGAAGGCCGGCATCCTCGTTCCTTAATGGGCAAGAATTTCTGCTCTTACCTGCTAGATCTGCGAAATACTAGCATTCCTTTTTAAGGGTGTGCACAAGGCCCTCATTTATACCCTGCTAGATGGCTATGAGACAGCCCGCTATGGGACAGGGGTCTTTGGCCAGAATGAATACCTGTGCTATCAGGAAGCCCTGAGTGAGCTGGCCACCATGGTCAAAGCACGAATTGGAAGCTCTCAACGACAACATCAGTCAGCAGCCAAAGACCTCACTCAGTCCCCTGAAGTCTCCCCAACAACCATCCAGGTGACATACCTCCCCTCCAGTCAGAAGAGTAAAGTGCCAAGCACTTCCTTGAATTGAAGAGCTTTAAGGACAACTATAACACATTGGAGAGTACTCTGTGATGGAGCTGAAGGACTCTCACTGTAGATTGAGCCAGACAGTTGCAGTATGCAAGACAGACTGCTTGCTGGGCAGCCCTCAGGACATCTGGCTCAGCAGGTCCAGACTGTTTTAGCAGAAGCTCCTGTTGTCTCCAGAGTTCTTAGAGCTTGTGCCTAAAGGGTCATTCCCAACCCTTCTTATTAGGCATTTTCAGAACATCGGCTAAGACTTTGTTTTCTTCCAGCAGCACTTCTTTTCTGGATTTGAATTCAGATGTTACTAATGTTTCTGTCAAAGCTTCCTTAAAAATCTTCACTTGGTTTTGGCCATAGTTCACCTACACTGTTTTAGGCTATTTAATCCCAAAGGTGAGAGTTGGAGTGAGGCATCTTCCCTGTCTACCCCTTTGTACATGGTTGAATGGAAACTGTTTAGATTTAAGGCATCTCAGAGTTGATTAGTGAAAAAAAAGCAGACAGGGACTGGTGGGGAGCTCGGATGAGGAAGTTGGTATGTGGAACAGCTTACCCTGGTGCTCCACTTAAAGCAGGATGTGTTGCAACTTTTCTGATATGCAAAGATCTGCTTTTCCACTTTCAGTCCAGAGCATTGTGAATAAAAGGAATTAAAGGGAATATTCTGACACCTAACATAACCTGTGCCAGGCTGTGGGAAGGAGTGGTTTCCCCTAGCAAGCCAATGCACTGATCTGACTTTATAAATTATTTAATAAAATGAATTTAAAAAATAAATAAACAAAGTTCATTAATGTAGATCTTGCGAAAGTATTGCTACTTGTCATATGAAGAAAATCATTGTTGTTTTCTTATTTTGCAAATTAAATATTGCATAGCATCTCATGAAGATAGAATATATGTTTATATTATTTTGCAAATTAGATATCTGATGTTTACTTCATACCAATTTTAACATTTGTTTAATGTAAATTTTACAAATTGTCATGTTTTTATTAACTTATTTTTATTACTTTTTTTTTTTTTTTGAGTTGGAGTCTCACTCTGTCGCTCAGACTGGAGTGCAGTGGCCGCTCCCGGCCACCGCAGCCTCGACCCGCTGGGCTCTGGCAATCCTTCCGCCTCAGCCTTCCAAATAGCCGGAATTACAGGCGGGCGCTACCACGCCCGGCTGAGTTTTTGATTTATTGTAGAGATGAGGTCTCGCCGCCCAGGTGGGTCTCGAACCCGTGGGCTCAGGCAGTCCACTCACCTCAGCCTCCCAAAGGCGCGGGATTACAGGCTGAGCCACCGAGCCCGGCTTTTTATTACTTTTAAGCCTGGGCTTTGGCATCTAATCATGTCAAAATGCTATGACTTTAACCTTATTTCTTGATTAAGCCTTACTACACGCATTAGATTTGGGAGTGAAACGCTTTGAGTTTCTTTAAAACGAAAACAAGAATTATTCTGTGACTCTTGAGGCAGTTCAGTAAGGAGGTTGTGGAGTCGATTGAAGGTAGGTTAATGATCTCTTGGGTCTACGCGATGTACTTTTCCACAGTAAGTAATGTACAAGTGAATCTTGAATGGTGCCTGGACTAGGTTGTACTCAGCTATGCCCTTACATCTTATGGTCTGGCTTCTGCTAAGTAATTTCATGCTAATCCATTTTTTCCTGTTTCTGTTTGACTGTAGACATTCACAATGCAAATATCTTGTATGGATTGTAAATATAAAGACATTGACGTTTACAGAATAAAGAAAATGTAAACACTAAATGCTAATTAAGTTTTGTTAGCTCTTGCTTTTAAGGGTAATCTAGAAATATGTGTGAACACAGATATCCATATTCCATCAGCAGAAAATTATTTACCTTAAATTGTGCAATTGAAATGTTCTGATCTTTTTGTAATGCTCTAAGGTGGAAATAATTTCTTCCTAGGGAAATCATTATTTACTTTTATCCTGTTCATCATGGCAAATAATAGGCAAACTAATTTTCCAACAGTAGGGAACTGAAATATAGCATGGAATTGTGTATAGGAATTAAGAAATCATGTTGTATGTTCTCACTTATAAGCGGACCTTGAACAATTATCATAATACTATTAGAGAATGATTGGCAGTAGTGGAAAGCTGCCGGGAAGGCGGATGGGGAAGCGGGATTGGCAGTAGTGGGAATCTGCCTAGGGAAGGGGGGGGCATACCTCATCAACAAAGGTAACTGCATCATGAACATTTGTATACCTAACCCTGAATTGTACCCCACATCTTTAAAAAAAATTAAAAGAAAAAAATAGAAATCATGTTTTAGAAAAATATCGACTGTCCTTGTCCTCAATCAGAGGACACTGGCATTAAATAACTCAAAATGATATTACAAACTAGTATTTACCATTTTCTCTGCTTTGTATATTGGTGCATATTCATGTTACATTTTAAACTATTTTTTAAAAATTTCATACTGTTTCCTTACTTGCTTATTTGAAGTCTTCACATACCCAAACAGGACAATAGCAGCAATCATTTTTGCTGAAGATTTTTGCCTCCTAGTGATCTGTTTTAAGAATTTGCCCCAGGTTTCACTGATTCCTAAAGCAGGCTCTGTGGAAAACATGTTGTGGAATGAAACTATATTTCATTTTGACCAATCTCCTAATCTGTCAGTTAGCAAGTGACAATTACTGACTAAAATACATTTCATAATGAACAAGCCTCTGTGTTTGGAAGATCGTGAAGGCATTCGTGGATGCTCAGCTCCCTTCAGTGTTGGGAGTACTTGAGACACTGAATAATGCACACAATCAGGCAACTCCTGAGTTACCCAGTTTCTGAATACATTCATTTTATTTTGGGTCATATAACTCTGACATGTGTTGTGAATCTTTTGGATGTGGCATAAATTGCTCACATAGGATGTTTTCTGCTTTCATCTGATAGCCTCCCTTTCTTCTTTCATTACAGATGTCCTATACTTCCCACCTAAAATTCTGACAAGTGTTGGGTCTAATGTTTCTTTTCACTGCATCTATAAAAATGAAAACAAGCTTGTTTCCTCAAAAAAGATTGTTTGGTGGATGAATTTAGCAGAGAAGATTCCTCAAAGCCAGTATAGTGTTGTGAGTGACCGTGTTAGCAAAGTGACTTTTTGCAATCTGAATGCAACCAAACCTCGAGGAAAGTTTACCTATGACGCAGTGTACTGCTGCAGTGAACATGAATGCCATCATCGCTATGCCGAATTATATGTGATTGGTAAGAATACTGAGGGTTTCTTCCTTTGGTTCCACAAGTCAAATTTTCATGATAGACCCTCCCTATATTAGAATCCCAGTGAAGATGTGAGGAAATTTTTTTTCATTTTTTTGGTGCTTTTGCTTTGTATTAATATTTTAATGTGTTTTAAATAGATGTCAATGTCAATATATCATGTGAAACTGATGGGTACTTAACTAAAATGACTTGCAGATGGTCAACCAATTCAATCCAATCACTCGTGGGAAGTACTTTGCAGTTGAGGTATCATAGGTATGTATCATTTTTGCTTTTTTGTTTTTCTGTAAAAAATTTTCTGTAGAAATAGTACAATAACAGTAGTCTTGTAGATGATCTTTTTCGCCTGAAAGAGAAAGGTTAAATGCAATTCATTGGGAATTGACTGTTCTTGAAAAACATTCACACCTGAGAGTTAAAAAAATTGTAATTTAATTGTACTTTAAATGATCTTTTCTGACTATCAATTCTATTAATTCTATATAATTGCATTTTAGCTTGTAAATGAAATACAAGAAAAATTAGTAACATATATATGTTTATTATTTTTATTTTTGAGTCAGTCTCACTGTATCACCCAGGCTGGAGTGCAGTGGCACGCTCACGGCCACTGCAGCCTTGACCTGTTGGGCTTAGGTGATCCTGGGCAATGGAGTGAGACTCCTACTCAAAAAAAAAAAAAAGTGGACAGTGAAAGAGGATACATTTTGTATCTCCTCCTAGCCTCCTAACTCCCATCTGTATGGAAAGAGTAATTGCTACTTTAGACATTTAAATATATCGTATTCATAACAAATAGTGGCAGAAGAGCTATTTCAAAGAAGAGGAGAAATGCTTTATGAGGTGGGGTGTTGGTTAGGACTCACTTATAAAATGTCCTTCCTTCCACCCCCCTCCCCCCCGCTTTCTGTCAGGGTCTCACTCTGTCCCCAGCTTGGAGTGCAGTGGCACAATCATGGCTCACTGCAGCCTTGACCTCCTGAACTCAGGCACTCTTTCTGCCTTAGCCTCTCAAATAGCTGAGATTACATGCATATGCCACCACAGCTGACTGATTTTTAATTTCTTTTTTGTAGAGACCAAGTCTCTCTATGTTGCCTAAGCTGGTCTCGAACTCCTGGGCTCAAGCAATCCTCCTGCCTTGGCCTCCCAAAGTGCTAGGATTACAGGCGTGAGCCATCATGCCCAGTTTAGTAAAATTAAAAAAATTTTTTCTTCTTTGATAAAATGGGTAGTAGACTTGATTACATAATTTGTATATATATCAGGAATTGGTATTATTTTAGTTTATATTAGTTCAAACTTGAAAATATTAGGGCATTGTCAATTAAGCTATAATTTACTCTCAGTTAGAATCTCAAATTGTGTTGGAATACAATCTTCTCTTTAAGTTGTGAGGAATTTGCTTTCCTTTCCATCCCAGGAATGCCCATTACTACTTTTAAAATTGTATCAGTAATATATAATATTAGTTTAACTTTCAAAGTGCTGTAGGTTTTATCTCTAACTGGATTGTTATCTCCTTGCTGAAACATTTTTTCATTTGCATCCCTCTGAGTGTTTAATGAAATATCTAACAAGAGTACTGTCTGTTTCTAAGAAAAGATATAGAATTGGGATCTAGCTGGGAATTTAAGAACATCTATTTTTCTATGGAGCAAAACTCTGTCTTTTAAACAACAAATCAGAATTCTTAAATATCTTCTTATAGCTTTTGTCAATGCTGTGTATTAATTGGGTATTTTTTATCTTCTAAGGAGAAGCCTTTACTGTTCTGATATTCCATCTATTCATCCAGTATCGGAGCCCAAAGATTGCCATTTGCAAAAGGATGGCTTTTACGAATGCGTTTTTCAGCCCATCTTTCTATTATCTGGCTATACAATGTGGATTAGGATCAATCACTCTCTGGGCTCACTTGACTCTCCACCAACATGTGTCCTTCCTGACTCTGTGGGTATGTCAAGCTGTGTTATGTGTCTTCATTTTTATTAGCAGATCGAGTTAGGTTTAATGTTTGATATTTAGGTTTAATTTTTAGCCATTTTTCTGTCCACACTCGATTTTGAAAAATAAAATATCTCTGTTTACAGTGGAATTGAGTAAATAATCAGCCTCAGAAAGTTTAGCAGTTTTGAGTTCAAGTCATTTATACTTTTTTCAGCAGTAGGAATATTTTAGTGCACTTTTTGATGAATTACATGGATCACTATGAGTGAATTTTGGTAATATTTTTCTAAATAATGGATTATTTCATATGTTTTTCTTCTGGTGTATTTATGAAAATATCTAGTGTTTGTAATTTAAAAGTTTAATTGGGATAGTCTGAGGGTCTTGGAATTCTGAGTCGTCATAACTTAAGGCTTGAATTTGTGAGGCTGTTAGGACACAGAAGCATTCAAAATTAAAGTGGAGAAACCAGACAAGAAGATGACATCCACTATGATATTTAGAACATTCTTTGCAAAAGGCATTTTTATTTCAAACATATTAAAAGAGCCCTTGGAAAATTTGACATATTCTTCCGATATTATTGCAAAGTCTTTGAAAAAAATGACCCATTGATTGTGCAGCGGGAATGAAAGAACATTTTTTGGTGCTACATATTATTTTGTCAGGAAATTATGCCAAAAATCAGTATTTGATTCATTATTTTTTCAATTAATTAGTACACATTTGGAAAAGATTTACATTTTCCTAAATATAGAACAGAGTTGTCTTAATTATTAGATCTAATTGTCAATATAAAGTCATAATCACTTGATTCTCTTCCTACTATTTGATTTCATTTTGAGTTATTTTTGCTGCAAGTCATGCTTTTCCAGTACTAAACATCCTGAAAAAGTGAGAAAGACTCCTATACTTCTTCTCAAACACACACAGATAATAACACACTCACATGGAATACATGACACAAGCAACATGGACTTAGTGACATGTGCTATCTGAATAACCTTTGATGTTATTCCTTTCAAAACCAAACTAAAGAGTTTAGGTTGAGCTTATATTGCCTAATTAGTGTGTGGAAATTCAACTTTGGGATCCAAATGTTAGCCTCACTTCTTATTAGCTTTATAAACTTGGACTAGTTACATGTATACTCTGTGTCTATTTTAATACCCATCAAATGTGGATAGTTCCTAATACCTTCCCAGCATGAGTATTGTGGGAATTAGGTAAACTATTGAACTTCAAAGCATCCTTTCTGCGATATTCACTGAATATACTCATATAATCCAGTGTGATACAGTCATAGATTCAACATCTTATGAAGTCTCTCACACATTGATACTTCCTTACCTGAGGAGAAATTCTCTTTTCAAGAGATGAAATACAGCATATATCATCCTGCTGGGTGACAAAGAGTGCTTTTTCATTCTATGAAGAATTGAATAATTGTGACAAAATTTACCCTAAGAAAAAAATTTAGGCATTTTTGTCATGAACAGTCTAAATCTTGGTTGCTTAAAAATGGCAAAAAACAACAACAAAAAAACTGTACAAATAAGAGACCACACCTCTACACAGTGTTGGGCCTTGAAAGTGAGATTTGGAGGGGGGGGAATGATAACGCACACCTATGTTGTACAAATCCAGACTTTGTGTTTTTCCTTTGAATCGTAACAATATTAAGAGTCATAAGACATGAGGAAATAAACAGATCAGTAAGGTAGGCCCAAGAACTGCTACAGTCAGTTCTTTCTTAAAGTTTTCCTACACAGAGTATCTATATTTGGTGTTAATATGGTTTAGATTATTTAGTTTTTCTTGTTGGTTTGTTTCACACCATTAGCCCTTTGGCTTCCCTTTTTGCTGCTGCAGTTGTTTCCTGCATACTGTAGCCAAGGGCCACCCCCCACTGATGATCGTCCACTGGCGGGGATGACTGTCAAAATAATCACCAAAATGAGTGGTATTCTAGCCACACCCCAGAGGCCTCTGATGTCCCAGGCAGTGACCTTTTAGGTGCTGGGTCATGGTTAGGTGTGGAACCAGTTCTGAGGGCTGTGATCCTCAGAACAGCTCTTCACCAGCTGGCGTGGAAATGCTTACAATTCTTAATGACTGACTTGGCATACCAACTGAATGTATGTCCTCTCCATGAAATCCTTCACTATCAGTGCAGATAATCGAGACGTGACTATATAAGTGTAATTCTCATTGTAAAATCGAGGCTTGAGTTGTGACTAAAGTTCGGAGCTTCAGAGGCACTGTTACATTTGGGCTTTCAAGCTTTTAGTTTCAAAGATGCTGAGTTTCTTCTATGTTGCCTTTTATTGTTAGAAAGAGTGACCCTCAAAGTAGAAGATTCAGAACGTGGGGAAAATCTATGTAGAGGATATAAGCCTAAGCTAAAGTTTGCCTTTAGCTCTGAAAGTTACAACCTGAGAAGATAATAAAACAAGAAAGATGACTTTTTTCTTTGGATTTCTGTGATTTTTACATTATGCCTTTAAACATGTCTTGTTTATATATATATGTTTTTTAAAGCTATTTTTTAAAAAATCAGTTGCCATTCAGGTCATTTTGCATCTACTTCTGCCCATTAAAAGCTTTTTTCTTCAGATTGTAGAACATCAAGGCTATACTCTGAGAGACTATCTTTGACCTTGACATAGAAATACTTAATAATAGACAGCAGGAAAGGAGTTTCAGACTCACACATGTGGAAATTGATGCAGTGCATGTTTTTAATTTAAGCTCTATGTAGAACACAGTTTGCTATTGATATTTATCTTGTGCTCAATATAGTGTCTTTTGCATGCAGAGCCAATGGCTCAATTTTTAATCAGGTATTACCACTATTAACTTGCAGAATGACATGGATAATATATTGAGTTTTTTCAGTCGATTTCCTTATTTGCAAAATAGAGATAATAGCTATTTTAATGTATCACATAAAGTAATAGGGAAACAAATGAGATAATGAATGAAAAGTTTTGAAAAAGATTTATTGCTTTATAAATATAAGGTATGACAAATATAATGTTTGATGACATTATTACTATTTAAATTCCCATTATATAATACTGTTTTAAAATTTCTAGTGAAGCCACTGCCTCCACCTAGTGTGAAAGCAGAAATGACTGTAAACATTGGGTTATTGAAAATATCTTGGGAAAAGCCAATCTTTCCAGAGAATAACCTTCAGTTCCAGATTCGTTATGGCTTAAGTGGAAAAGAAGTACAATGGAAGGTACCTTTTACTTAGAAATTTCTTCAGCTTTCCTCACAGAATGCTGTTTTTGTGATATCTAAGAGTTTATTGCATAAGATTAATTTTGTTGTCATAAAAGTACGTCTTCCTGCATTCTGTGGCTATTTTCATTAAATAGATTGATCTAAGTCTAATCTTTTTAAGGTACAAAATTTTCTGTGGTCCCTCATTTTCCAAAATGTGTTTTACAGAACATTGGTCCCGTAAAATGTTCTTTGAAAAAAGATTGCATGTCTTCCTAGTGTAAAGTTGCGGTATATAGTGTAGAGTTTAATATATAACACATATTAAAGGTGCTCAGAGTTCCTGCGTTAAAGAAACATTTGTGATTTTATTTCATTCCATATTCCCCAAACTCATTTCCCCAAGGAACTCTTTTCCCTTTAGCATCTATTAATATCTTTCAGTTCACATATGTTCAGTGGAATGCATGTTGGAAGAAGCTACTTTTCATACAACCAGAATCATGCCTATATTGACTTTCCATGTCAGTTTTGTGATGGCAGCCTGCAAAGACCTACAAAGATCAGGAGTGAATAGTTATATTATTAATTATTAGATCACAATGATATCAACTAAAACAAATGTGAAAGTTTAGCTGCTTATTGAGGGAGACTGGATATCAGAGATTCTCTGCAGTAGATCCCATCAAGCCAGTAGGTTAAAATTTTAAAAGTCTCTGTGGAGAGAGGATGAGTGATCAAGGATTAATAGTAGGACAGGAGAGTGTTTGAGAAATGAGGTTGCAAGTGAACCAGTCCAAAATCTTGACATCAGTGAAGGAATAACAAGATAAATAAGAAAATTCTTAACTTGAGGGAGTTTACAGACCAAGTCTGATGCCACTGTTCTGAAACCAGAAGCCACAAAATCAGTTCTCTTAATTTGGGAATAGTGTTAAGGTTTAAAATGAAATGTACTTAGGGTTTTTTAGATACTTCTATGTTAGTAATGATCAGTCTGATGTTTTGACTTATTTTACAGATGTATGAGGTTTATGATGCAAAAGCAAAATCTGCCAGTCTCCCAGTTCCAGATCTGTGTGCAGCCTATGCTGTTCAGGTGCGCTGTAAGAGGCTAGATGGACTGGGATATTGGAGTAATTGGAGCAATCCGGCCTACACAGTTGTCATGGATATAAAAGGTCTGCAGAGATTTTGTAACTGTGTTTTGAAAGTGCATTTGTGTGTGCTTCAAATATGCCTGGAAAATATTCCTTCCGAAACCATATGTACAACTTGGGTTCCTTGTCATTTTGCAGTTCCCACAAGAGGACCTGAATTTTGGAGGATAATTAATGGAGATATGACAAAAAAGGAGAAAAATGTCACCTTACTGTGGAAGGTATTCTTTCTTTTTATGCTATTCTTAAATTTTAATTTTATACTCTTAAAAATATACTTCCATTGTTTTTAATCCTGTCAGCATTGATCTTTGGAATGCTTGGCGGTACTATATTTTCATTTCATTTTTGAGATGTGTTTGCAGAGGGCTAAGATGTATGGTGGCTGGAACCCTGGCATGGAGTTAGAAAATTTTAATTCTCTTCTCAGGCTAACGTATTATTGTCAGTGCTATTTTTGGCAAAGTCACTTAGACTCTTTGGGTCTTAGTTTCCTCATCTGTATAAATGTAAGATGATATTTAGTGTTCCTTTGAGTCCAAAACTTGTATTAATATTTAATTCTGAGCAATGTAAATGTTGGCCTTCCTAACACATTGCAAGGACATCTAAAACATGAGTTTATTTCGTTTGTGCGATGGCGTATAAATGGATATTTCCATCGATAATGGATATTCAGCCTAGCAATTTTCAACCATTCTTTTTCCCAAATGAATTGGTGTCTGTCCCAAGTGAATAGATTATTTGGTCTGTAGACACCAAATTTAAGTTTGATTTGGGAGTTTAGCCCAAGAAGTAAAACAGTGTTTCTGTCACCTCCGATGTGAAATGTAAGTTTCATCCCCAAAGTTGAATGGAGATGAAAGCACATGTTTGAAAATGTTTTTTTCCAAATGTAAATCCAATTCCTGTGTAAAAGTTGGATTGTCTAAGTATTTGTGTTCACTTAGTTTGTAAATCTAGTTACTACCTAACTTCATTTGGTTAATAATCAATGCAATTTTTAAACTGTTTTTTGTTTCAATATTTCTGATTCAAAGTCAGCATTAAGAATGAACAGTTGGTCGAGCCTGTAATCCTAGCACTTTGAGAGGCCGAGGAAAGAGGATTGCGTGAGCTCAGGGATTCGACACCAGCCTGGGCAACTTGGTGAGACCTTGTGTCTACAGTAAACCAAAAAATAAGCCGGGTGTGGTAGCATGAGTCTGTAGTTCCAGCAACTTGGAAGGCTGAGGCGGAAGGATCGCCTGAGCCCAGCAGGTCGGGGCTGCGGTGGCCATGAGCGTGCCACTGCACTCCAGCCTGGGTGACAGAGTGAGACTCTGACTCAAAAAAACCCCAAAAAACAACAACAAAAACTGACATTCATGAGACATTTGTTGTATCCTAGCACTTTATGCATGTTTTCACCTCCCAGGGTATTCATAGCCTGTACTCTGAGAGACTGAATGGGATGTTGAACTCACTGAGGATGGAGGCCCTGCTGACTCACCACCAATCTTGCCTAACAGATTTCCTCTACCTTCTTTGTTTGATCTCCATGGACACCGCCTCAGAGATCTGAGTCTCCACAATGAGGGAAAAGCAGTGATGTTCCTCAGGCAGTAGCAGGCTTGGCCATGAGCAGAATTGAAGTAGCTTTTCTTTTTCTTTAATTTCTCCTCTCATCGCTGCAGTCAACTGCCCTCTGGCCCAGGCTGCAGCTACCCCATCTCTCTTCTCCCACCCCAACATACCCTAGAGCAAAATAATTATCTTTCTTCCCAGACAGTTCTCACATTTTCTTTATATCATGGATTTCATGTTTCCCCAGCAATGCTGCCCAATAGAACTTTCTGTAATGATGGAAATGGTTTATACCTTCATTGTCCAAGATGGTAGCCACTGGCCACGTGGGACTCTTAAGTGCTTGAAATGTGCCTAGTATGATTCAGAAACTGACTTTTAAATTTTTAAAAAATGTTAAGTAATTTAAATTTAAATAGCTACAAGTGGCTAGTGACTGTCAGATTGGACAGCAAAGCTCTCTGAGTTCTTTAGGACTGATTAGTGGGAAAAGGAGAGCACCCTTGCTAATCTACCATCTTTGCAGGTGTTAGAATGCCTTTTATTAGCGGAATGATCTTTAACTGACATTATTCTTGCTTTGTGTTATTTTGTTTTGGTTTCCTAAACTGAGGTAAAAGTTCAATGGTTATGGTTTTCCAAGTCTATGCTCCTTAAACTGAGATAAGATTTGTCCAAGGATATACAATAGGTAAGCCACAAAGCCACCAGGTAAGTATGGAACTTTAAAAGGACATAATTTCTTTGGCACTTTAAAAAATAATACATTTTATTTTAGAGCAGTTTCAGACATATAGGAAAATAACAAAGACAGTATAGTACAGAGAATTCCCATATATTTCCACACCAAGTTTTCTCTACTATTAACATCTTACATTAGAATGATACATTCAGATTAAAACTTCCTGTGTTTTTGCCAAATATTCTCTTTCTAGTCCAGATTCTCATCCAGGATAGCACACTACTTTTAGCAATCATACCTCCTTATGCTCCTCCTGATTGTAAAGTTTCTTAGACCTTTTTGTTTTTTATGAACTTGACATATTTAAGGAGTACTGGTCAGGAACTTTGTAGAATCTCCATCAAATGATGTTATCTTATGAGTGGATTGGGTCCTGGGTTTTTGGGAAGAAGAATGCTGTTTAGTGGCATCATATTCAGGCTACAGGCTACCAACATGACTTAACATAGTTGATGTTAAGCTTGCTCACTTGGCTGAGGTGTGCTTATCTGGTTTCCTACTGGAAAGGTACTCTGTTTTCCTTTTTCTATGCTGTACTTTTTTGAAATGAAGTCCCTCTCTGCAACCCATGCCTAAAGAGTGAAAATTGTGTTCCACCTACTTGAGGATCTACATACATTATTTAGAATTCTTCTGCATGGGAAATTTGTCTGTTCACCCACATTTATGTATTGACTTCTTTATTCCATCATTTGTTTATATCAATATGGACAATGAGTACTCTATACCTTGGATTCCTCTTTATTTTGTTGCTCAATTTATTTCTGCTTCAGGCATTGGGAGCTCTTTTAGTTCATTGGTTCATGTCCTCTTTGTTTTATTTTTTGTTAATTTTTGAATACTGGTAAATTGGACTTTATTCAGTCACAAACTTCTAATCTGGAAAGACTGTTAGGAGGATGAAAAGATGAGGTACAAACTGGGTGAAGATACTTACAGAACATATATCTCATAAAAGACTTATAAACAAACTGTACAAAGAACTCTTAAAATTCAACAGTAGGCAAACAAATAACCTAATTTAAAAATGGGCCAGATATCTGAACAGAAACCTAACCAAAGTGAATGTACAGATGGCAAGTGGGAATATTAAAAGATGTTCAACATCATTTGTCACCAGAGAATTGCAAATTAAGGCAAAAATGCTACTCCACGCCTAATAGAATGACTAAAATCCAAAAAACTGACAATACAAAGTGCTGGAGAACATGCAAGGCAATAAACTTTTATTCATTGCTGCTGAAAATGCCAAATGGTTCAGTCACTTTGAAAGACAATTTGGTAGTTTCTTATAAAGTTCAATGTATTCTTTTCTTTTCTTTTTTTTTTTTGAGTCAGGATCTCACTCTGTAGCCCAGACTGGAGTACAGTGGCATGATTACAGCTTCCACAACAGCCTTCCGAGTAGCTGGGACTAGCATGCACCACTAGCTTATTTTTCTGATTTTTTTTTTTTGGTAATGACAAAGTCTTGCTATGTTCCCTAGGCTTATCTCAAACTCCTGGGCTCAAGCAATTCTTCTGCCTTAGCCTTCCAAAGTGTTGGGATTACAGGCCTGAGCCACCACACCTGGCCCTAAATGTATCCTTACCATAAGACGCAACATTGCACTCCTAGGTATTTACTCAGCTGATCTGAAAACTTCTGTCCACAAAGAAACTTGCACATGAATGTACAAGCAGCTTTATTCATAATCATTCTAAACTGAAAGCAACCAAGATATCTTTCAAAGTGAAACTATTCTGTATGATACTGAAATGATGGGTACATAGCCCTATGCATTTGCTGAGATCCATAGAAATTTGCAACACACAGAGTGAACCTTGATGCATGTAGATGCAAGAATCATTTAGGAGGTTGGAGGATCCCAGGATGAACTGCAGACTGTGACAAGGGAATCTACCTGGATTACAAGTGTATGAAACCACCTCACTGAATGTGGTGGGAGAAAAGACCTTAGTGACTTTAGAAATAAGTAGCATCTTAAGACTAAAGGCAAGACAAACTGTACATAAGAACTGTACTCCAGTTGACCTGTTTCTTACTGGAGTAGGAGTTAGCAATGATGCTATTACTACACATATATAGTGGAATGGATAAAGTAAGTGACAGGATGGCAGAGGGTGGGACTTAGGGCTGATCTGACTGGGAAGTCACAGACAAGCACCAGAATGAACCATGTGGGAACGGGTTAGAGTTGGAGACATCGCTGTCAACTCATATCTAGCTTGATAAAGATATAGATTCTGAGTTAGTATACAAGCTCATTTCCTTGATTTGTAAGCTAAGAGGGTCCCCGAAACATTGACACCCTGCAGTAAGGGGCATGTCCAGATTTGTCTCTGATATCATCGTCCAATAAAAGGAATCAGGACTATTCAGAGAAATGGTTAATTTTAGGCTGAGATGGGGGAATAGGCAGTATGAACCAGGAGTATCTTGTAATACCAGAAAGTGAGGAAATTTAACATTATTTTTACTTGATGGTTATAAAAATGTTTTAATATTAAAACTGACATAAGCCGGGCTCGGTGGCTCAGCCTGTAATCCCGCGCCTTTGGGAGGCTGAGGTGAGTGGACTGCCTGAGCTCACGGGTTCGAGACCCGC